GTATAGTTATTTACATAAATCTACAGCCACGCGAAAAGTACATGTTTTATGTACAAATACATTTATTAACATGGCACGTACGATATTGCTACAAATTTTTTTACTAAATAAAAATAGTTGGAAGTTTTAAATTTGCTAATACGTGGTAGGACCACGTTGCAGCTATATTACGGTTGTAGCACGAATGGGTCGGTTCAACCGGAGAAGGACCACGCTCTCACAGAATACCAGCGTAAAGTAAAAGCTTAATGCTGCTGTGTTTTGTATGGTGAGTGTAGAGATCCGGAGACGCTTTTATACTGGAAACGAGGGATTCCATCTTAGTCCTCAGGGGTAACAACGCATCTGCGTTTTGATTCTTAATCGAGTATAAATGTAGATGTCTATAGGCCACAGTATCCACTTACCATCAGGTGGTTTGTGTGCTCGTTTGTTACCCTTATTCTATAAAAAAAAATCATTACAAAATGTTTATATTAATTATTATAGGGGGTATATTGCCATAGTTATCACGCTTAAAAACGGGTGATAAACCGCAGTGACTTTTAAAGTAATTTTGCTGTAATCAGAAAGATACTGCTGTCCCTATATTATCATATATGGTTTGTGGCATTTTTTGGGGCAGGCTTATGTTCAGCAGTGGATTTATGAAGGGCTGTAATGAGCAATCTATAAATTCAATATTAGGGGTTAAGGTTTCGACATTACAAAAATTACTTTATACATTCGATAATTTTTTTGGTGTCAGTTTCTTAATTGCCAAAATGTTCATAATGAAAATTCACATGGTAGAGTCAAGCTTCAGCTACATTACGGTTGTACCACGAATGGGTCGGCTCAAACGGGGTAGGACCACGCTCTCGCAGAATGACCAGCTTAAAATAGCAACTCAATGATGCTATGTTTCGTATGATGAGTGAAGAGAACCGGATATCATTTTAACTGGAAACAATAGTGACCACGCATCTGCATTTTGGTTCTAAATCGAGGATAGATGTTATAGTCTATGGGCCACAGCATCCACTTAACATCAGGCGGACTGTGTGCTCGTCTATTCTCATTCCATAAAAACAATATAAGTTCAGCATTACTGTAGACTTGTTTTAATAACTTCGTCAAGACCAGGGAAATGTGATTTGTTCTCGCAAATTTATTGATCTGTAGATACTGTAATAATCCTAAATTATGACTTTATAAACTCGGTTTATAAAATATTCACATTCCGCAATCTGGATGAAATATTCTGTCGGTAGACAGATATAACTTACAGCGTTAGTTACTTATAACAGTAAGTTACAGTTGGCTGCCTTGTTGGTCTAGTGTTAGTACACGTGATTGACGATCGTGAAATCCGGGTTCTAATCCCTGTTCGGGTTAAAATCAGTTTTTGGTTTGGCTCGAAATTCAGTGTGGAGAACATATATACAGATTTTCTTGACGTACTATCAGGTGAGATGCATGCTCGTTGGCCCCTTTTTCTAAAAAGTCAACTTTGATAACCGTCTTTTAATTTAATAAAAATGCATGTGTTGTCAATCTTAAACAGGGCAGTCGGGTATAACAGACATATGTGTAAGCGACACCATCCTAATCCTTAAGGCTACGAAAAAAAGTTTTTCACAGTCATTATTTGATTACTTTATAAACTGCTCCTAGCACAAGCACTTTAAGCTTATTTGGAGTGGTTACAGGAAAACTAGGAATGTCAATAGAAGTGATTATTTAAAAAAATACTTTCCGCTATGAAAATCAATGATTTTCAAAAAATCGGCAAGTTACCCCAGTTTTCGAAAATCAGATATAACATTTTCGAATAAATTTAATGTCTTTTTTTGGATTACTTTTAAACAGATGTAACTATCAATTCCAAAATTTAATTAGCTCTTAAACATAGAAAACGTCGTCCATTGCTGCGAACTGCTTCAAAATTGGTTCAAAATACGTTGAAGGGAAAATCGATGACGATAAGTTTAGAAAAAAATGTTTTTTTCCACATAAATTAAATCAATAGTCCAATCGTTTTTCATATTTTTTTTTATTATTGTTCATACAATACCTCGTCGATTGCCACAAATTATATCAAAATCGGTTGATCCGTTCGAATGTTATCGTTATCAAGAAAGTGTTTAAGTGCTCGGCTCATTCTTGATGTAATGATTTAACTATTAATTCGTAACAATATTTCTCGAGCTTTTTGAGATCGAACATAGCGGAAAGTTCCAGAGATGGACTGCAGGATCTACAGAGTTTTTTGGCAATACGTAAAAAAGTGAAGTCTTTGCTAAGACATAGTTTATACAAGAATTTAAGCCCCGAGTTCAGAATGTGAACTGTTTTAATCTTTTCAGTTCTATAAAGTCGGGTTTTACTTTGTAACAAAATTATTTTTTACCCTTTTGAGGCGACTTGGGATTACCACTATCTCAATATTGTCTTAGTAATATTGTCTTAGTTATATTACAAATTTCTCATCTATTTTACTAACTTTTGGGATGGATGTTTTTCTTCAAATTTATGTGAGACCATCGCTGAAGTATATTCTATTTATTAAAATGAAATCTTTGAATTTGGTTCACATTTGACGAAGACATCGCATAACAAACATACCAAAAAAATGTACAGTTGAATTGTAAGACTCCTCCGTTTTTAATTAGGTTACAATTAAAAAAAAGTCTTTAATAGCTAGACCTCTAAATTTACTTATAATTTTAATTTTCATATTGAAATAAAACATCAAAATATTATGAAGCAGTTTGCTCTGTGACACCCGTACGTTGTTACTTCGATCTCCCTCCTCTTAACTTCCCCTGTTCTCATGCTGTACCTGTAATTCGACATAACAACCCATTTCTTTCAATTCATTCATATTCACGACTTTACGTATAACCGTTGATTGTTACATAAAATATAGTATTGTTTATCGCCATATCTATTGTAATTTAGTGAAAGAGATAGAGAGAGAGAGAAAGCTTTATATAAGCATCAAAGTTGATGAGAAATACTCTTTACTATTCGTTGATTAAAAGAAATATCTTTGAATTGTGTTCATTACATGTAATGCTAAACTAATAGATCTCACTGTGCTACAATGAACACATTAGGAGAATTTAGTTGTATTGCTGTAATGGTCTAATTCCCATTCATGGGTTTAGCACGACCGCGTCCTAACAGACAACGTGACGCGAATTGCGTGCGCTATTGCCTTTTATTGTGTTAGGACCGCTCGGAACTGGTTTAATCCGGTTATAGCAGCAATAAGAGATGCTTCTATGGATTTTAGTCAATGTTCTCTGGTATTTTGTTGACATATCTAGTGTATATATGTTATATGCAGGGAATAGAGTGAATGGGGCACTACATTCTATTATGAAGAACCAGAATGTGTTAAAAAAGGCACGTATGGTAATTCATAATGCTGTGTTAGTCCCTACTTTAATGTATGGTAGTGAAAGCTGGGTGTCTTCTGTTCTTCTCTTTAGTCTTTTCTGATATTTTAATTTACTCAGACTTGAAACGATTTAGTATAACCGGACACTGAATGCATATAGGTAATATAGTGAGAAATTTACATTTTGTCCCCGCCGTTGTACTGCATTGCATGGAACGTTCAAAGCTTTCTGTTCCCTTTTCTGTGAAACCTTTATATTAAAATATTCAGTTCACATTTTCATTTAACTTTTAGCAGGTATCAACAAAGCGCACCTGACTCAGTCGAAAGATCGAACAGTTCATTGTTATTTCATGCACCCCTAAAGATTTTATTTCTCCTGTAAAGTAGGGAACGTAAAAAGACTGTCGTACGGTTTCCGTTTTAATAAGTTAGTTGAAGCAGGCCAGTTACAGGAAAATTGTAAATAGTAGTATGTCTTTAAAACGAATTCATAATGATAATTTCTTAAATTTAAGCGAACACTACACATTGAATAAAACAATTTATACGGATTTTATCGCGTTTAATTAACTTACTTTTAATTCCCGACGTTTTGGATGCTTTACAGCAACCATGGTCACGGGGGGGGGGGGGGGGACTGAGATCTTTGACGTCCCATTGTCATAGTTAGCCCGGCCACCTTCAGTTTTTGAATATTCATTTTAAGTCCGATCTACGCAGAACGAGCTTACAGTATCTTGAAGTCTTGCAGTGGTATGCTTGGGCTTGGATTTATTTTGTTAGTTATTAGATTTCATTCATATTCTCTATTGAAATTAGGATGTTTTTTTTTATTTAAGTAGTCTCGTCTATCATCCTTGGTAGGAATCGGTGTTCTTTTGCGAAGATTTATGGTTTAGCAAATCTGATGTAATGTACGATGTAACGATCTATATATTATGTTCACAGACTGCAGGCTTCCTGGAGCGTCGGTACTTCACGTAAGCTGTATGTTAGCTGACGTGAAGTACATCAACATCGCAATCCCCCCCCCCCCCCGTGACCATGGATGCTGTTATGCACCTGAAACGTCGGAAATTAAATATAAGTTAATCAAACGCAATAAAATCCATATAAATAGTTTTATTCAACGAAATCATAAAGAATAAAAAAATGTGGTGGATGTGTAAGTTGATCCTTTACCCCACTTACGTCCAATGGGTGAGGTAAGAGGCCATTATAGGATATGTCAGAAAATATCTAACAGCCAATAGATGAAACATCTATTTACGTCAGAGCGTAAATACCAAAACCGGTGACGAGGATCATCGTCAAAGGCGAGAGACGTTTGATACTGAAAAGTTACTATTAACTGTTCAGAAGTTATTTTTAGGTACTAAGTGTCATTATAGGTGGTAAGACTTTTTCTGCCTACCAGTCTGTCTGGGAAGTTACCGCTTTCTCATCTACTTCTGCGGACTAATAACAGGGTGCACTGTTGTATTTCCGTCTGAATGAAGAGTCAGATTAATTACAGACTAATACCTCACACCAACTTCTTAGTCTTCAAAGGTGACAACGCATCTGTGGCTTGAAGTTGCTTGCAGGTGCTCATAGCCCATGCTATTAGCTAATTACCATCGGATGGTTTGTAAGTGCGTTTTTCACTTGAATTTTTAACCTCCGACGAAAAAGGGTTGTTGTAAAGTTTTTTGCTATTTGGTGGACCTTTTTTCCTATCTCCGTGCTTCGTGTTTGTGTAACACGGTGATGGCTCTGGCTGAGGAGAAGGTGTAGATGTAGCTGGATATTGGTAGGAAATAATATTGTGATCCAGGTCTTCCATAATACTGTCAAAGTCAATACCCTCAACTTCTTCAATTTCTTCATCCTCAAACGGGAGCTCCGGATCTGGAATAAAATTTGGATGCACAACGCTGTCGTCATCATCATCAAATCCATTCTCACTAACCTCATAATCAAAGAGATGCTGCATAATTTCATCTTCTTTAAGTCTTCGGTAGGCCATCCTGTCAAAATACCAAACAAAGGTCAATGGACTGCCCTAAATGAAAGATATAACTCAATGTAACAGAAATGGCACAAACACTCTTCGAAATAATATATCACAAATTATCAAATATTATGCACAAATAATAATTTATAGTTAAAAACACAGACTTACCTTCAAGATTTATAGCACAAATATATGTGTGTGCGTGTGTGTCTGTCTGTGGCGTTGTAGCTCATAAACGGATGAACCAATTTGGGTGCGTTTTTTTAATTTAAAAGCAGGTTTTCTAGCGGTGGTTTTATGGACCTATTTTATCAAAATTGGTTCATTCGCTTGCTTTTTTGTTTAGGGGGTTTTTAAAATTTTCAATTTAACTTATATATAAAATAAGTCGGTCACTCGATCAACTGAGAGTTTTTTCATTCTATAATCTAAATATAAAGTACAGAAAAAGCTGCAATTTATTCAAAAAGAATGAAGCAACCGAGAACTGACGTCAGCTAAAGATTATTATTAATCGCTCTTAGGTTAATAAACATGTGACTGTCGAAAGCAAATAAGAATTGATCAAATGAAAATATCATTAATATCAATTAATGTAATCGAAGCATTAGTTTCCGGTAAATTGATAAAAATTGGACATCATTAGGTTAATTTGTAACACAATTTGGTAAAAGACACGAAAAAGTAATCGAGATTGATAGCAAAAGTTAATAATGTAAAAGATAGACAGCTGGCTAAGCATTTGGTTGAGACGTGTTTGTATGTCCTGCGAATAGTTGTTTTCTATGGATGTCTATCTGTAGACTGCATCATAGGATTTTTATGACGCAATCAATAAATTGCTGTTTTCGTGAGTCATTACGAATCGTCTCGCAAGCAGACGGATACAACTCAGCTGGGCAGCGTTACGGAAATTACGACACATCTTCTCGTCAGCTATACCTCAAAACCAGAAATCTTGACAACTACCAGTGCGTTTTGCTAGTGATGACTTATGGAACTGAGACGTAGTCATTCGTTACCGGCCGTATGAGGACGCTCAAGGTTGCTCATTGAGTCATAGAGAAAGCTATGCTTGGGGTTTCTCTGCGTGATGAACTTAGAAATGAAGACGCAGAAGAACCAGAGTGACCGACATAGCCCAACGGATTAGTAAGCTGAAGTAGCAATGGGCCGGTCATATAGCTCAAAGAACTGACAACCGATGGGGTAAAAAGTTCTCGAGTGGCAGCCTCGTACCAGTAGGCGAAGTGTAGGGCGATCCGCCACTAGATGGAGTGACAAGCTAGTAAGACATGCGATATTGTGATATTTCTTGGGGGTGTCCTATATTCAGCAGTAGATTTGTGAAGGGCTGTAATGGTGACGATGATGAATTAATAAATTTACTATAGTGGCCACGGTGGTAGACGTGTGGTCAACTGTAGTTTTTTTTATTATAATTAAGTTGTTAACAGGAAGATGCTACTGTCTATCTTCTGTTTAAATTAATCTCTGTCACTTCTTACGACACGGGACGATATGGGGTAAGGGTTTCTTCTCCACCACTTCTTCATGCGTTGGAAAATTATACCTCTTTACCGAACTTTCAAGTAATTTCTATGATTTTAAGGCATATTTATACGTTACTGCTACATTTGCGATCAAGTTGAAAAGGTAAGTTAACTAGCAATATGAACGGGCTATCATACATTATTTTGGTTCTGAGATTTCATAATAAAAAAAACTACGCATAATTCATAAACTGCAAAGAACTTACTAACAAATGGTCTGTTAGATTTTACTTAAATACTAGCGACCAGCCTTAGCTAGGGTCTTTTAATGTGGCGTTATTTAGATGTTTTAGAGCAGGGGGGGTAATGTAGCGGCGCTGTCGTCGCGCCACAATCGAAATACACCGAAGTCTAAATCACGCTATCAACATTCCGAATCAGAAACAGTATATATAGAACATCTCCGAACTATCACAAGGAGTGTCGGCCGCTCCCCGGGCAGAACACCTTGCCCGGCGGGAGATCTCCCATTTTCCTTCCACGGCCACAAACTATAAGTTTTTCGGACAAAATAAAGCCTAGATCCTATCTGCTATTGCTCTCTATCTGTCCTAAAGTTTCATGATAATCACTTCTGCTAAATCCGAAACCCGGACAAATAGACAGATAGGCAAAAATTTCAAAAATGGTTTTGTGACTACATAACTGTCTAAATAACATGCAAATAACGCCCCAAGCTTAGTGCAAGCTAGTTATTTCAATATTAATATTAAAGATAAATTAATTTATTCGTTCCTTCCTCCCACACCTCTTATTTCTGAGAGGGCATTAGGCCAAGAATATGTTCGAGGCGCTGCTCAGATTTTTAAATTTTTTAAGACATTACTTTACTTTTCCACAGTCACGTGGAAAAGTAAAGTAACGTTTTAAATCAGCATTTATAATTCGCGGGTTCAATACCCGTCAATACTAATTAAATTGTGAATTGCAATTTTAAAATTTTAAATTGCAACGTACTCGACTCGACGTTTTTAAATCTTTAAGAGACGTGCATATCTCACCAAAATCATCGTAAATGGGTGCATGGGGAACAATAAATGTTCACTTCATTTTGTGATAACTGATAACCTCTTGTACTTGTTTCACAATATTTATATTAAATAAGTGTTTATCACAATACAAGAATAAAGCTGGAGTTTCACCAAGTGACAACAATCACAAGTATCAACAAATATTTACTTCAGGGAGTTACTCTGTGGCAACCCCAATGACAAGATGTAAAATAATAGCTCCCAACTATTTTATAAAATTAAGTATTATAAATTGTTAATATCCACCTCAATTTCTAGTTACAGTTGTTAAATAAGACTTAATTGCGTTTGTAAAATAAATAAAAGTCATAAGTATTTTAATTAAATAGTGTTTTATGTTTCAACTAAAAGTGACAGCTGTAACGTACATCGTTTGAACTTTCTGTAAGTTAGTGTAATTCTTGTTATCCCTTCAATATTTTAAGATTTACCTTTTAAATAAGTGCTGTTTCGGGTTTCAATTTGAATTATTTACCTGATAATTTAATTTGAGATCTAATATCTAGATCTATGGGTCTAAGTAGACCCATAGATCTAGATATTAGCTTACTCTGTTTCTTCGGTTTTCTTTCTTTGTTTTCTTTTGCTATTTACACATAATAGTAAAATGAATACACGCAACGTCAAAACGCGCCAAATGGAGAACCAACTTCAAATGGCGCTTCTGGAACTTAAGGCGTCAAAGGAGCAGTGTGAGCTGTTGCTTAAAGAAAGGGATGACAACGAAAAGGAAATAATAAATATAATTGCCAAAAATACTCAACTAAAAAGTGATATGGTTAAGTTGCATAAAGACTATACAAATGTTTTAAAAGAAAGGGATCAGCTTCAGGGAACAGTCGATGAGTTTGACCGATGCAGCAAGGAATATGAGGAATCCCTCAGATTAATAGCTGCATTGCAGTTACAGATGAGTGAGGCTAATGAGCAGATTGTGCAATTAAAACAATACTCAGATGAATTGAAAGTGTCCCAAACTCAAAGTCTGTTCAATAAGCTCATAGAATGTAAATCTTCAAAAACATTGCAACCCTCCACAACAATCAAGCAATTTGACTGGTGATGATTTTGTCACATCAAGAACAGCAGAAAGGATTACATGCAGTAGAAGAAAATTAAAGAAATATATAAAAATTAATAAATATGCTAGGAGAGTGCAAAAGATAATTAGAACTAAAATTAATATAAAAAAATATGTAAATATATGTAAGAAAATCATTAATTAATTAATAAACTTAAATTATATTCAATTGAGGTGGAAAATATGAAAAACTGTTATGAGACCGAAATAGAGTGTCTCAATTCAGAAGTTTTGTCGCTTAAAAACTCCTTACAAATTATCTCAAATAAATATGCATCGGCTTAGGTTGAGATAAAAGAACACATATTGGCCATGAAGGATCTGGTAAAGTCATGTAAATACAATAAGGAGCGCTTTGACTCCTTAATAAAACATCAGAGTGAGAATAAGCGCTCCAGACCATTTTTATCGGGGACAATATGTGTAAATAGTAGTGACTCCTTATTGTCACCCACACTCTATGACAGTGCCATAACAAAGAATAAAAACTTAAAAAGTAATTTAAATATTAAAAAACATGAAGTTATTACGTATTGTGATGACATAGGTAAAAATTTTGGGCATGATGTTAAATAACCATTTAAAAGGACAGGTAATTAGTAATTATTGTATGCCTGGAACATCCTTTAGTCATATAACGAACAAAGTTTTAACTAGTAAGTTTTGTCCTAATAGCACATTAATAATTCTTGTTGGGAGAAGAGGCAATGTAAACAAAAATCAATTATTAAAATATATTGATTACCTCAATACTTTAAATGTACATAAAATTATCTTGTTTACATTGCCTTACATACAGGGTTGGCCACAGGAGAATAAAATAAGATATGATTTAAATTTATTAATGAATAATTTTCCATGTAACAATAATTTAAATTTGACATTTAATTGTAATAATTATACTAATAGCATTAATTTAATAGACATTAATAATTTAATTAAGAATTTTTTGACTACAGATAGGTATTACCTATCCAAATATAATTTAAGACAGATAGCAAATGTACTATCATATTATTTATATATTAACTCAGCCAAGGACTTCCCTACCCAGACAGCTGCTCCTATTGAGCAGCATAATGATGTGACATGTAATTTGGAATCCGTTCCAAGTAATTTAAATTAGAAAATGAGACAATAGAGGTAATCTCTAGCAGTTATAATAATTTAAATAATTTAGAATGTAGCTTACAAATCCTTAATAGCTGCAATTGTATAACTCCACAAAATGATAATAAAAATTGTTTACACCTGGTGCATCAGAATATACAAGGCATGATAGGCAAAGAGCTAGAAATTGAATTGTTCTTAAATAGCAACAATATTCATATTTTATGTATTACTGAG